GGGAAGCAACCCGATGTTTTTAGAGTTTGCATTTTCTTTTCTTTTTGATTTAGTTTTAGTTTTAGTTTTAGTTTTAGTTTTAGTTTTAGTTTTAGTTTTAGTTTTAGTTTTCATTTTATTTTAGCTTAACCGAATGATCATGTGTCTCTATAGTCTTTTGATCTTATTTTGTAGTGTTGAAAGAAGTAAAGAAGTGAAGGAGCTTAACTGGAAATAGTCGGGAGATTTTAGAAGACTAGAATCTAGAATCTGCATTTTGAACAAGTGTGGGGTGCCTAACCAGAAGAGTTAAAAAAAAGCATTCTGTGAAGATACCATGACATGGTCATCATTACCACGCCGTGGCAATTCAGATTTTCTCGATCAAACGAGTTCTGACTAATCACCACGTCGTGACCCTCAATTACCACGACGTGACATTTCTTATTTTCACGACCAGATTTTTCCACCATCGACTCCACGATGTGGCCAAAGTATAAAGATCAAAAGATCAAAAATTCTAAAGAATCAAAAATTGAAGATACCAAAAATCCAACAAGAAGGTGTTGAATTCAAAGAAATCAAAGAACAATTATCAAATAAGAGATGAGTTCAAAGAGCTCCATTGTGGTATCAAAGTTGTAATCTTTTCTTTTGGATCATATGTATGCTTGGGAAGCTTAACCAAAAATACCCCGAGGTTAAGAAAGATTTCTGAGGATGGATTTGGAGGGATGCAAAAATGAGTGTCGTATAAACTAAGGGGTGAATGCTCATAAGTATTGTGAGTATTTAGGATTAGAAAGTTTTTAGGAATTATAGACACAAATACATGCATTGCGGTCTTGGGATAATGACAGGGATTAAAATAGATTGTTTTATGCGATATTGGTAAGTTAAAAATCAGTTTGCTTGGGGGCAAGAAAAGGCTAAGTGTGGGGTATTTTGATATAATATATATATATATATTATATAGATATATATATATATATATATATATATATATATATATATATATATATATATATGTGTGTGTGTGTGTGTGTGTGTGTGTGCATACATATGTGCATACATATATATTGGAAAAGGCTAAGTGTGGGGTATTTTCATATCTTAATATTTTTAGATATATTTATGCTCATTGTAAGATAAAAGGTAATTAATCTATTGTATGTTGTGTTGTAGAAGCAAAAGACATGCTCGGAAACGAAGAAGAAGGAATTTGGAAGCTGGAAGCTAGGAACTTGGATCAAGGCCAAAAAGAAGAAGAAAAGTTTTGTTATCACGACGTGGTGACATACACCACGACGTGGGATTTTGAAAACCCGATGAACTTCGAAGACTTGCTGGTTACGCGATAAACCTAAAGACCACGACGTGGTGAGAATTACAACGATGTGGTCAATCGACTTCGAAAATATATAAATAGAATGCAGATTTCTCCGAAAACCAAACTTGTACTAGGAGCTTTAGTCGACTTTTGAAGGCCAAGGACGTTATCAAGAAGTTTTGAAGTGCAGATATTGATTAAAAGCTCGATTTTGGGAGATTTTGAGGCAATACTTCTTATATTTACTTATTCTTCTTGTGTTTGATCATGGATTGCAATTTGAATTTCGGTTTTACATTTTTATCTGATTTAGTTATGGGCTAATCACCCTAAACTTCTGTTAGGGATGATGAACCTTGAATCTATGTGTTCATTTAATGCTTTTATGACAATTTATTTGGTTTTCGTGTTTTGATGAATTATAACCCTAGCATAACAAAGTTTTAGTCTTTATTACGTTTCATTCAAGTTATGTGTAGTAGATGCTAATTCTAGCTGCATTAATTTGATTTCTAGTTGTTTATGATCATTAAATAATTAAATCTTGTGATTGAACAAATCATAGAGTTATGCAAATAAAGTTAATAACTTTGCTTGTGTTAGAGAGCATTAATTATCCATATTATGTGCTAGAATTGCTATCTTGATCATAGATTAGTAGTTCCTAATTTCATCATTCATAGTCCAATTTATCTTTATATCAGTTTTGTGTTCAACTTATGCTTGATCATTGCATAGTAGTTCATAAATGGAGAAACACTAGAATTCTAAATCATAGTAACTAGTATTGATTAATTGGAAGCCAATATAAATTGTCTAGTAGAAATCAACCATAGGGGAAAGGGAATTCGAAACTAATAGGAGTACTCTTTAATATTTGAAGTAAAAACCGTTTTCTTTGTTTGCTTAGTCGTTATTTGTTTGATTTAAGTAAGCTGAACTTGCAAAATCAGTAACCCCCCCCCCCCCCCAATTTACTTGTTTTATTTAGTTAATTATTATTAGTTATTTTATTAATTAGAATTTCGTTCGATGTGATCGACACCTGACTTACTCAACTATACTATAATCCAACTAGGTACACTGTCTATTGAAACGTTAGTTAGTTAAGTTAGTTAGGTTTATAAATTTAAAGTTGATTGGTATATTTTTGCTCATCAATAATCATCACCAATATAAAAAATATGTTATTTTTATTTTTCTATCATCCGAAATCTTCTTTCGTCGATTAAAAGTTCATAACATACTTTAAGAAAGAGTGATTATGTAATAATAAATGAAGCAATGTGGTCATTATAAATTCACATGAAAATACATGTGTTTGTAGAAGGAAAAAGACACATTGTTTTTTTTCTTTGGAAAGTCATGAAGAATTGCTCATTCATCTACTAATCATAAAATAGGTTATTTGTTATTTAAAATGTTAAAACATTTTCTATGTAATTGAAAAATATTAAAAGACTTAGATCTTAAATTAGTTAACAATAACAATTAAATTATAAATACATAAAAGTAATAATCATGTTAACTTAAAAACGATAGTTGGTATTTGAAAATTATTCAAAGCAAACATAACTTTAAAGGTGGATCAAAGAAAACATACCCTTTAAGCCTTTGATTAATTCCATGCTAGTTCTTGTTGAAGAGAGGATGTAAAGAGCTCAAACCAAAACTCCTCTTTTGTACTGCACCCTGAGAAGCATATCAACAAGCTTGGTAAACACCATGAACCGCAAAGCACTAAACCCGAAACTATTTGGGTTCTACCGAAGCCGATGCACCGCGTAGAAGAACCGTACCCACCGTGTGATCGATGTAAAAGTGATTTTTCGTGACTTAGGAAATGACATTTGATTTTAGCATTGGAGTCAGGACAAATTCGTTCCTAAGGCTCATTTATTTATAAGGGAGGGTTTTCAATGCTTATTGGATAATTACTTTGTCATTAAGGCTCCTATGTATAATTTGACACCGTTTCAGATTCCGATTGGCCTATACATTAATCCTATTAAAATAATTTTTTTTATATAATCTATATTAATCCTATTCATATTTAACAAACATATTTAAATGTTTTTACAAAAGATTTGTTATAAAAAGCTTAACAAAAATAATAATTATATAACCTTATATGTGTTTTATAGTTAACTATTTGAATTAAAAAATAATAATCATATAACCTTATCTATAATTAAAGAACAAAAAGATAAAGAAAAACATAATTGCAAGTGAATTATGTTACGAATTATGATTACAGTGAAGGATGTTAATTAGAATCATAGGTATTATTGGTTTTGAGTTTACAAGATCGGGATCGGGATCTTAAAATCTCACAAAAAACATAACTTTAACTTAAATTTTAAAACATGAAAAATATCTTTTAACATTTCAGTTTCCGTTCAAAAGCTATAAAAAAAACTTCAAAACATTAGTCACAACTCACAATACAGAAAGGTAAACGATAAACTGGTAAAGAGTAAAAGACGTAAAGTAGTAAATTCATTTTTTTTTCATTTAAAAAAAATCAAGCAAAGGTTGGATCGGATTGGATCCCGATCCTACGATCCCACAATCTTTTTGCGATCCTACCCCAAATACGATCTTATACGATACAACTCATTTTTCATATCTAGGATCGTAGGATTGTATGATCAAGATAACGATTTTGACCACCTTGATTATAGTGGCCATGAAAGCTTTAACAAATATAAACAAACAAAACGTCAAAAAAATATTGAAAAATGTATCTAAACAAAACTTCAAAAATAAAATATTAAAATTTATTCGAAGAAAACATCAAAAAAATATAATTGACTAAAATATAAAAAAAAATATTAAACAATATATTCGAACAATACATCAAAAAACTAAAGTTAATAAAATATAAGTAAATTAAATAAAAACAATCATAAATAGTAGAAAAAATTACATAAATTGTCCATGTGATAGGAAGGGTAAATATTTCATTTCGCATGAAATTTAACTGAAATAGTTAACAAAGTTAGCCAAAATGACCGTTCTATGCGTTTTAAATCTGAGAATGACAAACCCAATTAAAAATTTCTCAAAAGGGCATGTGGTGGTATTTTCTGCCAACAACAAGGACCATTTATGTAATTGTGTCAATTGGTATTTTTAACTTCAAATGTTTATGAAAAAAATGAATATTTTGTAAATAGTTAAAAGTGATAAATTATAGTGTCTTTCTAATAATGATTATAATTTGGTTTATAAAGTTAAATAAAAATCAAACCTAAGTGTAATCATAAATAATTTCTATTAACATAGAACTTCTTCAAAATGTTAAAATTTTATTGTTTAATACTGTTTCGCTCGTTATGTAGGCAAATATTAATTGATAGACGCTTTTTGGTCGGTCGGATAGCGCCTAGGGACTAATCGGTGATTAACCGGACCTAGTTGAGATTTTTACAAGACTGCCTAATAGATTAACTATAGGTTTGTTTTGTTATTCACATTGTTTTTCATGTAAAAACATTGAATCACAATTTTGTTAAAAATTATTATTTTAACTATATAATTATATATTCTTGGACAAGAATTAAATTGAAGATATACACCTTATTAATAAACTTGAACTCTTAATTTAAATCAGTTAATATTATTGGACGAAAATGGAGGGAGGGGGGATACAATTAGATATGGAAAATATGAGATAAGAAAAATAGGACAGGAAATATTAGCATAAGCAAAAAGATTAAATATGACAAACGAAGATATGATGACATGATTTGAAGGGCATAATTGTAATTACAACTGGAGAGGGGGTGTTTAATAATGAAAGAAGAATATAATAAGTTGAAGGGCAAAGGTTTGGAGAGCTGATATAACCTGTGATCACAACGCTTACCACTCAATTACAAAATTCATCTCATCTTCAGCTTCACCTTCTTCAGGAATTAAGACACTTGCGCTCTCAAAGGTATCTTTTCTTTTTTTGTTTCCATCCAAAGCTCTTTGTATGCCATCATGGATATTTTTTTTGGTGCTTTTATCTTGACAGACAAATATGGTAGGACGTACGCATATTACTTGTGTGGTTTTGATCTCTTCAATTCAAAGCTAATTTTAATATACTAAACAACCTCCTATACTATTTTTAAAAATATCGCATCCATCTTTTGTATACGTAAGTGTGAGAAAGCATGTGGATTCGAATCCTTAATTTGTCCAAAACAGTAAAATTATGGGTTTAAACATATGCATGGTGACTCTTTAAATATGGGATTATGATATATATGGCTATGGTTGGTGGATTAGGTCTACTGTAATATTTGAAGAAAAAGATGGGTTACTGGAAATCAACAGTGGTACCAAAGTTCAAGAAGATTTTCGAGAAGAACAACGTTAAGAAGGCTGCTGCTGCAGAAGCTTGCAAGACCTTCGATGACGCTAAGGTAATTAATTAGTATCTTTGATTAATTTTTATTGATTTCTTATAACAAATTTTCATATTTAAAATAATTCACATGCATATTCAGGAGGATTACAGCAAAGAGTTTGAAGAAAAGAAGAGTGAACTCCAAGCTAAAGTCATTGAAATCTATGAAGCTTCTGCTGATGAAATCAAGGTCGTCTATATATAGTTGTATAACTAACTTGCTTTCACTTATATTAGATACTTAAATTTCTCATTTTTTATACCAATAAAAGAACAAATATTACATAAACTAAATAAAAGAAAAATCAAGTTATGCTTTGCAACTACTTAATAAATAAGATTATAATAAAAAGACAACGACACTCATAATTGGACTCAATTATTGAGTTTCAAATTTCCATATTACTATTTTTCTTGAAACATTAATTGTTAGAATAATATTAGCCAAAACTATAACGAATTTTATTGAATATGTGAACAGGCAGTGGTGAAGGAGAAGAAGGAGGGCACCTTGAAAAAGGTCTCTACTGGTGTTGAGAAGTTCCTTGAAGAACTCTCTAAAATCGGTAAATTACAAACTAAATGAATTTATTTTAAACATGCAATAATCACTCATTAATATGATTAATTTACTTAATTTTGTACGTAATATATTATTGTGTTAGAATTTCCTGGATCGAAACCAGTTCATGAAGCTTGCTGCAAATTCGGCCCAACCTTGGTGGAGGGACCCATTTTCTTTGTTTTTGAGAAGGTGTCAACATTCATTGTAGTCGAAGAGAAAAAAGAAGAGGAGGCTACACCAGCACCGGAAGCAGCAGCTCCGGTGGAAGAAACAAGCAGCAAAGAGAAGGAGATTGTGGTGGAGGAAGAGAAGAAAGAAGAGGTGGTGGTGGTGGCGGAGGTTGAGAAGACACCGGAAACCACCCCAGTCAAGACGGAGGAAGTAGCCCCAACTGAGCCACCAAAGGCTTGCTGAGCTGAAGGTTTGGCGGTGTGTGATATCGATGATTTGTGAAAATTAAATTAAAGGTTCTGTGCATGCATCTGTAAACAAATTTTACTTGGACAAATTTTGTTATTCTTTCTTCTTTCTTTTCCATTTCTATGGGGGTGGGTTACCCTACCCACCCCTTTGTAATACATTGAAAATGTTTTGTTGGGTGTTTTCTTTTTTGCTTTTTGTATATTACTTGTTGTAATTTGTATAATACGTAAACTTATCAAATACAGTTTGTTGCCTTCATTGATTATTAATCCTCTATTTTTATTAGTTTGTGTTGCATTTTCTTGATTTTTTGCTTCAAATTTCACGGGTTTCTAGTATTTTGATGAACAAATAAACAACAAATTAATTAAACATTGTTTATTTGATCTATGTAAATTGAACTTTAGTATATATGATACACTCGTATATGATCAGATACGTCCGAGTGTTCTCTCTAAAATAGTAATTGAGCAGAGAAAGTAGATTGCAACATGTATCGAGGTAAATATGACATTGTCTAGCTCATTAATTTGTGTCTAGGTGATATTGGAATCCGACATTGAACCCTAAATCCAACATCGAGCATTCATGGAAAAAGTCACAACATTTGGTATTGGAAACCTACGGAATTAAGGATGTGAATATAGAATAAATTTCACCTTTATCGAACTTGTCAATAATCACTACCAACCCGAAAAAAGGTCAACTGCTACAGACCAGAACAGAATGATTGAATTGTAAATCTAACAAGGAAAAATGTAAGGAACAATATGAAAACCATTGAAATTGAGTAGGAATATAAAGGGTAGTAAAAATGAAGCAATGAGTGACGTGATAATGGGACTAGTCTACAAAAAGGCACGTAACCTTCTTAATTGAAAATTGTAAAGATAGAGACCGGAGGTGGGTGGTGGTTGCCTGCACGCAATATATATATATATATATATATATATATATATATATATATATATATATAATAGATATATATATATATATATATATATATCTATTAACTTTTTTATTCTATCACAAATAAACAATAAAATTCTGTCTGTGTCATCATCAGGATACACATTTTCTAATGCTGAGAAATTTTATAATTTGTATTATTATGAGTGGTGGACATAAGATCGGATAGGAAGTTGTTTGACCAATACGGGATACTTCCTTCTTTTTCTTGTTCTTTTATTTTACAATAAGACAATGAATATAGAAATGGAGCGTATTTGTCAATATTATCCAACCAACCTCATCAGAAATATAATCTAGGTAAGGTAATCAATCAAACAAACAGGAAACGTTTCTAATGAAGGAGAAGACAAAAATTAAGTTGATATAAAAGAAGCTACTAAGATTAATTCTTCATTTACAAGAAAAATCAATAACCAACATGGTGGCCATTACCAAATTACATTCCACTGACCATTTACCGATTACTAACTTCCTACCTTCAAGGTAAAAGGGGTTTAAGACAGGGACATCCTCTTTCTCCCTATCTATTTACCCTAATTATGGAGGTGTTTAATTTGATTCTGAAAAGGAATATTGAGAATATTTCTGTTGGACTTGGAGAAGATTTCTATATGCTAGAAGCTATCTTAGACCCCATATTGTGTCAGGTATTGGAAATGGTGAAAATACTTATGATTGGTGGCATCCAATTGGAATCTTAAGCATGTTAATTTCTAGAAGGGATTGGATAAGTGAAGGATTCAATGATATGTCTATGCTTGGTGATGTGATTGTTAATGGCCAATTCTGTTTGGTTGGATAGATATCCTGGTCTTCAAAGTGATCCGATGTTCTAAAACAGTAATGGGACTTGTGACAAGGTCGTTTGGAGGGATAAAAATGGTATTGGTAAAGATTTCTCGTGTAGTCAGGTGTGGAAAGATGTTAATAATTTTGGAGATAAGGTTTCTTGGTATAATATTGTCTGGTTTAGTAATAACATACCAAGAAAATTCTTATATTTTATGGATGCCTATTCTTGGGAAATTAAAGACACAGGATCGTGTGAAACTTTGGGAAACTAAAGGTAACCTGCTGTGTTCTTTCTGTCTTAAAACTATTGATTCTCATGATCACCTTTTTTTCAAATGTGATTTCTCTAAGCAGATCTTTGGATATTTTTGTAATAAGATTTGGTTTAACATTTAGGTATGACAACCCGGAGTGATTTAGTTGTTAAATTTAGTTGTCATACTAAGGGCAAGTTTGTTGATACCGTGATTAAGAAGCTGGTATTGGCTGGATGTGTTACTCATATTTGGCATGAGAGGAACCTGAGGCAGTTTAGGGCTGTTAGTAGATCCTACAATGCTGTTATATGCTGTAGTGAGAAGGAAATCCAACTGAAACTATTTGGTATGAAGAGTTTGTTGAAAACTGTGAAGGATGATGTGTGGAAAAGTTGGGGTATTCATGGGGAGGGCAGAGAGCCTAAGGAAAGGGCTAATTATCATAATAATGTGTAATATGGATGTGCAGGTTCTTGATGGTTCCAGATTGATTTTGAATTTGGGGTACACGAGGGTTTGGAATGGTTGTTGGTGGTGGAAAATGGTTATCTGTTTCTTGGCTAAAGGAATCGACGGATTTTGCTTCTTAATTGAAAGCTTGCTTTCAATTATAGTTGCTTGTACCTTAAGGGATTGTTGTTTGAATATGATCTTTTTTGAGAATATTCAAATAGTAATTCCTAGACATGTGATTGATGCCATGTCTAGTATGAAACTTTATGGAATCTGTTGGTGGCTGTCCCTTTGGGGCTTTTGTCTTGGCCTTTATTTGATATTGTGCAGGTTCCAGCTCCAAATGGTGAAGAGATTGGCTAGCAGATTACGGCTGGAGCTGCTGGAGGGTATTTTTGCTTGGAGCTGCTGCTGGATTGAGTATTGTTGCAGTAGAAGTTGGTACTGTATTGAGTTTTTTTGTTTTTTTCCTATTTATAGGGTGTTTTGGTTGTTTAGTGGTGGTTTTTATTATGTTGTTTTGTTTAGGGATTTGAATTGTATGTGTGGTTTGATAGGTTGGTTATTAAGACTAGTCTTTTGGACCGTGGGTTTTTTTTAAGGGCCTTAACCCTTGCAATGGGTTTGAAGGTATTTTGTGTTTTTGGAGAGAAGTTACTGTTAGGATCGAGACACGAACACGAAACTCTCTCTCTCAGCTCACGAATTATAGATTAACAAGAACACAAAGATTTAAGGTGGTTCGGTCTATTTCTGACCTACGTCCACACGAGGGTAACTTGGAGTTTTTATTTATCTTCAGTGATGTTGGTTTTTCTTTTATTTACAAAAATACAGAGTAATCTCTTATATAGAGATGGAAATCAGAAGTAGTCAAAAAAAAAACACAGCCGGGTCTTCAACCAGACTTTAAGAAAAAAGCCTCAAAACATGGTCCGTAAGAACCGGATCACCATTCCTTTTTAATCAACATTTTTGACTAACTTTTCTGTGGATTCACACTCAACAATCTCCCACTTGAAGCCACGAAACAATCTTTACTTGTGCTTCAACTGTGCATCTGTATTTCTGTAAAACACTTTTGATCTTGACTCCATCCTAGTTACCGGCCTTCTCTTCAATTATCCTGAAGGCCAGTTGAAGCTATGCAAAGCTTCAACTTTTCTAAGGTGACAACCTTAGTCAACATATCAGCTGGATTTTCAGTTCCTTTGATCTTATTCAACTTCAGAGTGCCATCATTAATTCTTTCTCTGATGAAGTGATATCTCAGCTGTATGTGCTTTGTCTTCGAATGGAAGACGGGATTCTTTGCAAGATGAATTGCACTTTGATTGTCACAAAATAATGCACAATCATCTTGTTCTTTGCCAAGTTCGTTGAGAAAATTCTTCAACCATATAAGCTCTTTGCTTGCTTCAGCAACTGCCATATACTCTGCTTCTGTGGTTGAAAGGGCAACACTTTTCTGTAGTTTGGACATCCAACTTACTGCAGTGCCGCCCACTGTAAAGACATACCCTGTGGTGCTTTTGTATGAATCTTTACAACCACCAAGATCTGCATCTGCATAACCATTCAGAACTACGTCTTTTCCCTTAAAATTTAATGTCGTCTTTGAAGTCCCTTCAAGTATCTCAACAACCATTTAAACTGCTTCCCAATGTTCTCTTCCCGGATTGGACATGAATCTACTAACAACTCCCACTGCATGAGCTATATCTGGTCTCGTGCATACCATTGCATACATGAGGCTACCAACTGCGGATGCATAGGAACTTTAGCCATTCTTTCTTGTCTTCATCTGATCTGGGTGACTGAGCTTTAGAAAGCTTAAAGTGACTTCCCAAAGGTGTGCTTCTGATCTTGGCATCTTTAAGGCTGAATTTCTCTAATACTTTCTCAAGGTACTTTTCTTGAGATAGTGTTTAAAGAACCATCTTTGTTTCTGAATATCTCATCCCGAGTATTTGCTTTGCAGCTCCCAAGTCTTTCATTTCGAACTCTTCAGACATCTGTTTCTTCAACTTCTTGATCTCTGACATGTCTGAACCGGCAATCAACATATCATCTACATAGAGTAGTAGAATGATATAAGAACCCTTAAACTTCTTGATGTAACAACAATGATCATTGTCACATCTCTTGTAACCAACTTTTCTCATGAAGTTATCGAACTTCAAATACCATTGTCTGGGTGCTTGTTTCAGACCATACAAACTCTTCTTCAATTTACACACCAAGTTTCCTTTGCCTTTATCCTGAAAACCCTCTGGTTGTGTCATGTAAATGTCTTCATCTAGGTCACCGTGTAGAAAAGCTGTCTTGACATCTAGTTGCTCTAGATGCAAACTTTCTGCTGCTACAATACTGAGAACAAGTCTGATAGTGGTCATCTTCACTACTGGAGAGAATATTTCATTGAAATCAATTCCTTCTTTCTGTTGAAAGCCCTTGACTACTAATCTTGCTTTGTACCATTTGGTACCATCATGTTCATCCTTGACCCTGAAAACCATTTATTCTGAAGAGCCTTCTTCCCAACTGGAAGCTTTGTTAAGTGCCATGTGTTGTTCTTCTCTCAAGCGACTTCATTTCCTCTTTCATT